TGGCTCTCTTCTCCGTTCGCGGTATCCTCGTCCTACCATGCGTCTCTTCTCTCTTTCTCTCTCTCCCTTTCTCCCTCTTTCTTTCTTGTCCCCTCAGCTCGATTCCACACTCCTCGTTTTCACGGGGAAAGAGAAAGGAAGAGGAGAAGGAGACAGAAAAAGGTGTCGACGTAACGTATAGCACAAACGCGCCTCACGTGCCTGCCTCTCTTCGCTATGCATAACATCGAAAAAGAATGGCGGAATTATCACCTCTAACGTGGAACGCCGGGTAGAAGAGGATGCCGTCACCTCCACGCGGCGTGGCGATATCGCGAAAATGATTATCGAAATGTGAGACATACATGTTCGCGCTACCGAAATCACTTGTGGAATTATTGATTTAAATCGACCTATTATGATTCATCGGATGGAGATACCCCTTGCACGACTCGTGGTCATAATCGTCGGGAACACGAAACGTCTAAATATAATTCTGTACCTTTGAGAGAATTCACATCTCGTGGCAAAAAAGCAGAAAGACAGAAGCCAATCAAAAGTACTAGTCGACAATTTCCGCAGAATGTAACGCTTGCTACTAACGTGAGTTCTGATTGGTTTTTGCCTTTCTGCTTCTCTGTTAAAGTGTGCGAATACCCCCTTTAGCTGACAAAATGCGGACGCGAGCTCTGAGAAAGTTGTTCGAGCGCCGCGAAAGAAGCCATTCCGGCGACGCCGCGAATGATCGGCATTGAAAATCTAGGCAAAATATCTCAGGCGATAAAGGCTGTTTCGCGTCGAATCCGAAGGGCGCAGTTAAACGTACTTTACGCGATTGCCGGGCACCGTAATCGCCGGCAATTGGAAATCGCCGCGGCTCCTCGACAGTGATCGTGTCAGCGTGAAAGAGGTTCACGAGGTGGTCCGCGCCGTTGAGGACGGGACCTCCGGGCGATGAGGCGTTCTCGAGTAGGTGTTCCAGGCTCGTAAATGTCCAGCTGCGGGCGCGACTCGATAAAACCGACGGAAACGATGCGTGCGCGCACCTAACGCGTAACGCGAACAAGCACCGTAGGAATCGCGCGAATCCTTTCGTCCCGTTCCCGAGAAGCACGCGACAAGTAAATCCCGAGCAAGTAAATAAAAGGCCGTGCCCAAATTAATGGAATCGAGATGGTCAGGCCGCGCGCCCAACAGACTGAGACTGGGAACGCACAGGAAAAACCTAAGCAATAAGGGATTGTCTATGCGGTCGTAGTTACATTTTAAGGTCGTAGCAGTTTTATCTTCTTCTAGACTACACAAAGCTATAGCACAATCTTAATTGGTTTTTTGGCCAAAGTTCACATCTTATGTTTACCTTACACGGTTACAGCAATTCCTGTGCAAAAGCCTTTAGAGCTGTAGCACACTCTTTTCAACTTTACTATATTTTTAGTATTCTAATAATACATTGTCCGTATAGTCTATCTTACTAAGAAACGTAGCAGATTTCGCTAGAAATATAGCAAGTCTTTTAGTAGTACATTTCAGTTCCTAAAATATAAGTAGTACACATGATATGAAAGGATAGTGAATTATTGTAGAATATCGTTCTTCTCGGCTACCAAATCTTACAATAATTTTTACTATCAAATTCTTTTTAGTTACTCAATTTTAATGAATCTTACTTACATGGTCTCTTCAACTTGCCTCTAGCTAGAAAAACTCTGAAGCAATATCTGATTGGTTTTTTAGCTTAAGTTTACGTCTTATATTGACGATTATGGCAATTCGTGTGCAAAAGCCCTAAAAAGCTATCTACAAGCTATCTATGAGATTGACAGTAGCCAGTAAAACATTAACAGATGTAAACAGTATGCAAATTGACCAACCACAGTCGATTATTACAAGAATAATCGACTGTGGTTAGTCAATTTGTTTATGTTTTACTATCTATTGTCAATTCCATTGTAGGTGAATCTTAACCCTTTAAAACATAGAATCTCCAAAAATCGGATTCTAATAAAATATTCATGTTAGAATGACTATGTCTAGAATGATAACCCGAATCTTTTCTTTTGAAATTAATTTTTTCTATTTTCCTATTTTATTTTCTATTAACGGATAGAATACATCACTATACACAGGCTAAGCGGTTTCGTTGCGAGATTACTATGCTTGAAGCTATGATTTGGTTTTAATAGGTGATCTCACAATGAAATCACTATGTTCTAAAGAGTTAAGATCTAAGGCACGCAGAAAAACGTAAACAATAAGCAAATTGAAAAACTATAGTCGATGATTCATCTTACGGTTCAAGAACAATTGATTGATCAATTTTCTTACTGCTTATATTTTTCAACTCTTCTACTCTGAGACGCGATCAGACAGTTTGCGCGACGCCTTTCACGCAATAGGACCGCGGTGAAACAATTTTCACGAGACAATATATAGGAAAACCGTGTCAGAGCTGAATCCGCGTGAGAATTTCTCAATTACTCATTAATCACGTGTGAGTTCCTTTCAGCGATCGGGGTTCTGAAAAAGATCCGCTCACGTTGTGATATACGAGCGAGGGTTTTGCTGTGCACAGCTCGGTTAACTCGTCGGCGAGAGAAATTCTCGCATATCTGTAATGCCGCCACAGATCATAAGCGCAGGCTTTAATGTCAACGCGAGAAAGGCAGAAGCAGGTCCGCGAGCTGACGCGGCGAGATACACTTATAGGAGGATTTATGCGCGAGTGCTTCTTGCGCCGACTGGAGCGGGAAAACGTACGCGCGCTCCGCGAGATTAGCCGTATGTTCGTTCTTATTAATACGAAACGTTGCTGGGATGAATCAATCGAATGCCGGCGCTTTCGCACGATCGGCCGCTCTCGTCGATCGTTCTCTCGTTGGAAGTTCCACGCCGCTTAGCTTCGAATCCACGCGAGGAACTGACGTGGAAAATATCGCGCATTACGCGAATAAAAGCAAAGCAGGAGGATTTGTTTCTTTCGTAGGCTTAAGGCAAAAGTATCAATGCTCGGACACGTACTTAATCCTGGACGTTCTTATTATTTTAGTCTTTAGATACGAATATTTAAACTTTCGACACAGAATATGTATTCTATATATGCACATAATGTTTTAAAAGTTTAAATATTTGTATTTAAAGACAATGAGCACGTTTAGGATTAGGTAAGAGTACCAATGCCCGGGCACGCATCTAATCTTGGATATGTAACAACAAAAAGGAAAAGAATAAGGACAACTAAATTTAAGAAAGTAAAAGGTACATAAGCTACAATGAAACGTAAAAAGCTAAACTCAAAGCTCTTAATACTTAAACATTCAAATTAGAAGTCCTACAAGATCTTAACTTGACGTCTAATGTCCGTTTCTACCAACTTTGTTTGACTTAATCGGCTGGTTATTCCAACAGAATTGACCAATCGTATTTCTCTTTGTCAGAATTAACAAATGCGATTTGGTTAAGTTAACCAAAATTGGTAGAAACGGACATAAAAGAAAAAAGAGCTCGCTTTAGCATTCGTCCTCTATTTATATATGTTTTGAATCTGTGACTCGCATATTTTCAGTTTCCTTATTCTAATTCACACGATTTTGCAGAACTTCGGATTAAATTTTGCTCAGCAGTCCCAGATTTTAAGTTTTACTTACATGTATATCCAATAAATGTATATAAATTCTCTACGTGTTGGGAGTTTAAATATGTCGTATGTAAAGATCAAAATATAATAAGAACGTCTAGAACTAAGTAAGGTAAAAGTGCCAATACATATCTGGACGTTCTTGTTATTTTGGTCTTTAAATACGAATATTTAAACTTTCAACATAGAATATATGTATATGTATCTTCACAAAATATGTATACGTCCAATATTTCCTGTTTTCATCTTAAATATTTGCGTTTAAAGGCCAGCACAATAAGAATGTTCAGGATTAAGTACATGTCCGGATATTAGTACTTTTACTCTTTTAAAGTGAATCAGTCAAACATCACTGAATATACACTGATTTGTATACTGAGTATACACTGTTAAATATTGGAGGGTCAAATGTAAACCAATTTCTTGAGTTAAATAATATTTAGTTATTTTTAACTATCATGTGTGTCAAAATATACTATTTTAACACAAAACATGCGTTTAAAAAAACAACCACATCTAATCAACCCATTTAAAACAATTAAGTCATTTTTTACTAAAACAAAGGTTACATTAAATTGCACATAATAAAAAATAAACTAAATTTTAGTCAAATTTAATACATTTCTTAAGTTAAATTATTTAACTCCATTACATTAGTTAAATTAACGACATATTTAGTAGAAGCAGTGGCGACTTATAGAAATGGTTAAAAACAACTCAAATTGAATATAATTTGACACTACGGATTTAACAGTGTAGCACCGAAAGTGCTATATTTATAACTGATATCAGTGTCTATTCACTGATTCACTTTAAGAGAGTACTTTAATTCAAAATAAAAGAGGAAACGTAAAACGTGCTTTTGCCGTTACGAGCTATACCGATTGTCGATTAAAACGCAAACACATCGTTTGCGATTAATAGATCTGCCTGTCGTTTTATCGGATGTGTCACTTAGGTTAACGCGATGATAAACACGACGTGCGCAGGCACGGTCGACAAATCTCGTGAGTGGCTTTATCCCGGCTATCAAAGATCGATCTCCCGCGATCCGATCGCAATATATATGTAAGGATTCCGGAAAGACGCTGAACGTGCTCCGCGTCAGGCCACCCACGGGCTCCCATAAGTATGGCGCGAGGTACAGCCGGGCATGTACCATAAATCGGGATTTTATCTCGCAGCTGCCGTGCTCGTGGCACGACCATGGCGATTGCGTAACACTAAATTAGTCCTCGAATTCGATTCCAACGGGGACAAGTCCGCGACCTCAAGGCCGGCCCTTCGGCCAAATTCACTCGGCATCGATTCGCACGTTCGTGAAACACGGATCCACCGATTTGCCGGGTCGATCGCTGAAATCCGACTCTTTCCTTTTTTGCAGGAGTCGCGTGGGGTCGCCGACGATGTCAGCGACTGTCGCCGGCAACCAGCAACAGCAGCATCCTCATCAGGAGTGGGACATAAATGATTCTAACGTGCCGAGAGTAAGTTCCCGCCCGGTTCACTCCGACGAGCTCGTCGATCGCGACGCGAAGTGTCTCGCGCGGGAACATCGATGTTCCACATTCGCTCGTTTCTTTTCGCTTCTCTTCCTCGCGAGGCGAGCGTTTCGTCCGTCGAGGAATTTCATCGAGCCGCGTCCTTGCCAACGCCGATCTCGAGGACAGGATTTTGCTTCAGGTGGTGGAATACGATCCCTGGTGCGAATGGGCGGACGGACACGTGAGGAGAGTCTACGGGCCGGATTGCGAGGAAGCGAGAAAGCACGCCTCCGGTTGGGCGATGAGGAACACCAACAATCATAACGTGGCGATCCTGAAGAAGAGTTGCCTGGGCGTTCTGGTGTGCTCCCAGGAGTGCATACTACCCGGCGGTGGAAGGGTTCACCTCCGACCGGCGATCTGCGATAAGGTGAGCGAGGGGCATAACGGGACGATAAACATAAATCCTGACCCGATAATAAATGTAAATTGCGTCCGCCGCGATGCGGTCTCGCATTCTTGCCGCCTGCGCGACTTTCCGCGACGCGAAATTCCACGTGTTCGTCGCGAATCGTCGTGGTGTCTACCCGCGAGCACAATCCCGATCGGTCCGGTTCAATTCGGAAATCGACGCCCGATACCGAGTGGAGCTCAGCCATTTCGCATCTCCGACAGAAGAGACATGTTCTATATCGAGATGATTTTACGTTGAAAGAAATTATTCGATAAGAAATTAACAGATACTTCGGATCAAAATACCAATGAATTTTTGTATCCGATCGAAGAAAAATTCGATGAATATCAATTCATAATTTTTTTATTGATTTATCTGATAAAATGCCGTTATGATAAGAAATATTCGATTAATCGGATATTCTGAACAGATATAAAAATGATTTTTTATTAGAAATATCCGTTTGTTAATTTTTTATCGGATAATTTCTCAGTGTAGAAGATTTTGGAAGCTATCTAAATTTCGATTCAAAATGACGGTTTCAAAACGGCAGCCATGAAAAAGTTAAATACTGATATATTTCAAGTGTAAACTTATATGAACTTGAATTAGCTTTTTTCTCATCATGCTAGTTACAAATAGAATGTAAGAAATTCAAAAGAGAATTTTAGGCGTTTTTAGGAAGCACGCGGGTATCGTACGATTCAATGCTTTTTTCTTGCTGAATTAAAAAAAAATCACATTTTACATGTTTAAAAATCTCGATTCCTATTAGTCAGTTCTAAAGTGACTTTCTGAAGATAGAAGATAGAAGAGTTTGAAAAAAGATAGGTGGGAGCGTCCCACTATGACTCAAAGGGTAAGCACCGATATGTAGCCGATGGATACACCGAAAGCGATCCACGATTCTCGCATCTAAGACCAGGCGTTTCGATTTTGTTCGCAGGCGAGGAAGAAGCAACAGGGTAAACCGTGTCCCAACAGACAGTGCACCGGCCGCCTCGAGATACTGTCGTGTCGCGGACACTGCGGCTATCCCGTGACGCACTTCTGGCGGCACACCGAACACGCGATCTTTTTCCAAGCTAAGGGCCAACACGATCATCCGCGACCGGAGGCTAAGTCTACGTCGGAGGCGAGAAGGAGCGTGGGTGCCGGCAGAAGAGTCAGAGGGCTGGCGGTCCTCTTGACGAGGGAGGCCGCTTTGGGCACCAAAGTAATTCGCTACTTCATATTTCCCGATCGCGCAATAAAATCTCGAAATGGAAATTATCGTTATTGCGCTTGTATTCTGTCGAATATCATCGTAACAATAATTATCTCGCTTTCAAAAGCTTCAATTTGTAACACTCCTACTGTGCTTACTAGCAATTGGAGTAACACAATGTACATTTAATGATAATCAAATAATTGAGATGTAACACGAGAAACTCACCACAACGAAGGGATCCTGCAAATCAAATCCTACATTACTTTCTGTTTCACTTTTGACTGCACTTTCGGTTTCATGTTCCTGCGACAAATGAAAAAACGCGAATTTAACGAATGAGTTATAATACCTTGGGCACCAGGATAATTCGATTACATTGTAAATCCAAATTACTTATTTTGTCTAAATTTCTTTTACGCGTTTCTTACCATTTTAAACTACGTCCTTTAAACTTTGAACGAATCAAATTATAATTTACACGTCTTAAGTGTGTCAACTGACGTAATTTAAAGTCACAAGAAACATGTAGAAAAAACTTCGGCCAAATTACACGCTTATGTGTTTAAAAATAATACATTTAGATTTGCAGTATGTGTATCTTGGGCAACAAAGCAATTTGCAACTTCATAACTTCCCGTCGCGTAGTAAAATCCCGAAATAATTATTTATAGAAAATTTATCGGAATTCTAAACTAGATTCCCCGAATACCAACGATATCTCTTTGACTATGTTGGCGTAATAATTATCTCGCTTTTTAACTTGTAATATTTTCATATATGCTTATGGATAGTTAAATCTAATCTACAATGTGCTCTTTGCGTTCTGTTTCTTGTCCTCTGTCTTTTTCTGGCTTAAGCCTAAACTACCATATGCTTTTTACGTTCTGTTTCTTGTCTTCTATCTTTTTCTGGCTTAAAGCTTAAGATTTGAGTCAGAAAGAGATAAAGAGAAAGAAGCAGGAAGCATATTATAGATCAGGCTTTAAGGTTTGAATTAGAAAAAGATAAAGAAACAGAAAGCAAAGAACACATTGTAGATCAAGCTTTAGAGTAACACGAGATGCATTTTTTTTCTTACCACTGAGTACTTGAAATGTAATATGAGAAACTTACTACAACAAAAAGATCCTGAAAATCAAGTCCTGTTTTACTTTCTGCTTCATCTTTAGCTGCATCTTCAATTTCATGTTCCTGCCACAAGTAAAAAAAACACAAATTTAACGAACAAATAGCAAGGTAATGCCTTGTTGACACCAAAATAATTCAACTTGGACATTAAAGTAATTCGCAACTCCAAAATTTTCGATCACCTAGTAAAGTCTACTATAATCGTTAATTACAATAGATTATAATAAATTAACTATTCGTATAAGATTTATCGCGTTTGAAAGTCAAATATATTCTCTGAATATTAACGATGTCTTTTTCATGAACTATCAGTTAGTCGACATAATAATTCTCATTTTTTGATTGCTAATATTCATATGTGCTTATTTATACTTAAAACAACACGATGAACTTTATATGAAATAAAAGTACTTTGACACTAATAATACTGGTACTTAACCCTGGATGTTCTTATTGATTTGCTACATTAAAATACGAATATTCAAACTTTCATTGTAGAGAATATAATTATAATGTTATTATACGGCAAAGGTTAATACATAAAGTATAAAATTAAAAATGTTACACACAAACAATGTTGCTAGTATCTAGATACATTTATTAATCACAGTAGATATATTTATCTAAATACAGTAGATACATTTATCTAATTACAATATTTAGGTTCCTTTTGTGTATCTTTATCTATAACTAGTTAGATTTTTTATTTCAATAACTGTATCTATAACTAATTTAATTTTACTTTGTATCTGTATCTAAAACATTTTAGAGGTAAAATGAATTTTACAAGGTAAAATGAAATTAGTTACAGATACAGTCATTGAAATGGAAAATCTGACTAGTTACAGATAACGATACACAAAAATATCTAGACATTGTAATTAGATACATGTATTAATTGTAATTAAATAAATATATCTCTACTGTAATTAATAAATGTATTTACATTACAACACTGGTTACAAGCTATTATAGTGACAATTAAAAAACAGTGTCGTTGAATTTACCTTAACACAACTCCACCTAGAAAAAACTCTAGCTTCATCATATATGTTATCTCTGATTTACCAAGTGGTTGGTAGAAAATAAAAATTTCATATTTTGCTTAGTTTTATAAATAATAACCTACGTAATATTTTTAACTTTACAACTTATATACTGTGTATATATATATATATATATATATATATATATATATATATATATATATATTCTACATTAAAAGTTTAATTTTTCATATTTAAAAACCAAAACACAATGTCCAGAATTAGGTACCAATGTTATTGGCGTCCAGGCGTTAGAAGTTTCTTGCCTTAACTAAATAAGATTGAGATGTAATACGAGAGACTCACCACAACGAAAAGATCCTTCAAATCAAGTCCTGTTATATATTTACCTCCCGCTTTACTCCCGGCTGCATCTTCGGTTTCACATTCCTGCGGTAAAATTTAAAAAAAATATACGAATTTAACGAACGAACCACAGTAAATGTGCATCTTGTTGCAGTTAATGTCGCTGAGAGGAACTAAAAGACCGAGCACGGACACACTCGAGCAGCCACCGAGAGCGACGCAGCCGCCACCATTGATCTCCGACAAAGGTTATTATTCTACACGTTATTGACACGTTCGTTCAAAACACGCGAAGCTGTGTTTACAAGCGCGTGCGGGATGCACTCGTGTGCACAATCATTCCTCCGTTAATCACGAGGTGGCGCCAGCGATCAACGACGAGGCTTATCGACAAAAGTATATTAGGAGATATTTTGTCCTTTTCTCTGATAGCATCTTATTGTCATCTCACTGATCTCAATTAACCTAGCTACCTAAATGGAGGCCTTGTTCTAAACGTAAATGTCTGTTATTAATACATCACGAGAAGACAATCGGTCTTCCGGCATTTACTTCGAATCTAAAGTTCAATCTCTATAATGTGCATTCTTTGCATCCTCTTTCTTGTTCTGTCTTTTTCTGGCTTAAGGCTGAGTCAGAAAGAAATAAGGAGAGAGAAACAGGAAGCAACACAAAGAACACATTGTAGATCAAGCTCGATACACAATCGTCGCAAATGCAGTACAACATCGCAACAATTGCTTGATACTCACAAACCATTTCCTCGACGGGTCGAAAGTACAGGACACACTGGTTTTCTCTCTCCGACCCGCTTTAACCGGACAAACGCGCCAAGACTCACTCAACGATTCGTTTCGGGAGGCAGTCATTCCCGACAAGTATTCGACGGTATCTTGTTGCGACGAGCACGGGAGGCTCACTTTTGACAGTTCTGGTGACAACGATAAATCACTTGCGGAAAATATAAAATTGCCTGTCGACCACATCTTTCAGCCATCTTCCATTCCGGAAACTGACTGAACTTGGCCGCAGATACTTGAATGAGAAATTCTCGATTTGCACACGCACAGCGCCATCGGCCGCTATATGAGGTGCACTTCTCGATGACTTCTTAGGGCCGGTTTTTCAACTAAGTTAAACTAGATAGATTTAGATAGTTTAAACTTAGATTTCAACTTAAACTCTGTTTAAACAAAGCAAACGCATTATTAGAATAGAGTTTAAACTTGAATCCAAGTTTAAACTGCTATTGAAAAATCGGCCCTTAGAGTGCGTTCCACTTAACTCTCGTATCGATCGCGGTATCATTTTATTCTTGTTTCTCACTTAGAGTTCCATTTCAAAACGTTCTTTCCGAGGAAAATTTTTACTCTTAAATCTATAGTGTATGTAACGTGAACTATAGATTTAAGAGTAAAATTTTCCTCGAAAAAGATGTTTTGGAATACAACCTAGGTTGCAAACATCTTTTTCGAGGAAAATTTTACTCTTAAATCTATCACGTTACATATACTATAGATTTAAGAGTAAAATTTTCCTCGGAAAGGACGTTTTGGAATGCAACCTAGATGTTAAACAAAAATAGGACGACGCCGCGATCGACGTGATTTCACTCTTAAGCCCGGTTGCATTTCAAAATGCTCTTTTTGAGGAAAATTTCATTCAATAAGTATATGTAACGCGTCAGTGTCGACTAAAATTTCCTTACCATAATTCATAATGATTCGTTTATAAAGTTTTAAGAAATTTTGTGATATAATATAATACTCAAAACTGTCTTAGGGCCGGTTTTTCAATAGCAGTTTAAACTTGGATTCAAGTTTAAACTCTATTCTAACAATGCATTTGTTTTGTTTAAACATAGTTTAAGTTGAAATCTAAGTTTAAACTATCTTTGAAAAACCGGTCCTTTACCTTTGAGCGACAAATTGAAATCATAAGACATAAACAACAAATGAGGTTATTATATATAACTCTAATATTTTTTAAGTTTATATTTTTCTTCTATATATTAAAATTTATATTAAGAGATGAATAAAAAGTAATTTAACAAGAACAAAGTTTTTTATTGTAAAAATACTTTTTCAATGTAGTGTTTGATCTTGACATATCAGAACGTTTCAATAGATTGCATAGAAAAATAATATTGAATAGATTCATCGCTGGCCTCACTTTGTCGTTTAAAAGTTAATATTTAAAATATGAAAATAAATAATTTTTAACACTTGGTCGGAAATGCATAACAGAAAATACGTTCACGATGTTCTTCGACGTGCTTGCAGTTTTATGATCGTATTCACCATCATCGAAATACAACTTGACCTAACTTTGGAAATATGAAAAAGAACATAATTAAAAACGAAGCAAATGCGTACTCCCCTACTTGACGACACGAACATTTCGTTTTATTGATTTATTTATCCACGATCTATCGCATATTTATGCCGTGCCAAATATTAGGGTTATATATAACCTCACTTGTTGCTTATGTTTTATTTAGTAAAGAAAAGAAAAGAAAAGAAAATGAAAAGAAAAAATAAGTAACTTTCCCTCTTGATGCCGCTCTTAGGATATTCGTGCTCCTGCCCGCCCTTCGAGTGCATGTGCTCGCTGCAGACGAACGTACCGTCGTATCCGCAGTCCCATCATCACCAAACGACGGTGTACTCTCAACAATTGCCGCCCGCGGACGGACCTTACTGGCTGCAGGACGTACCGGCGCAGGAGAACACCGTCGCATATTGCCTGCCGAATCAGGTGCCACAGGAAGCATCATACGGCGACTTCCCGCCTTTCGCGGGCGATCTCTTTCAGCCGGAGGAAATTTTCCAACTGGATCAACCGCTGAGGCCAGATTTCCCGAATCCTCAAGACGTAGCGGCTCGCTCGCCGCCTACTTTGCTCGACCTCGGCAGCGGCACCATCAAGTACGAGGTGAAACAACAGAACCAAGATCAAGCTTACTGGAATCAGTTCCTCAGCGAGGACTCCAGCAGCAGTCATTTGAGCCTGCCTGCTCAGGACGAGAGGCTACAATTCCCCGGCTTCGAGCCCGAAAAGGACTCCAACAGCATACCGCCCAGAAGGACGATGCATCATTATGTCCAAGAGAAGGATCACGGTCAGGGTCATCCTGTGAATGACGCGCTGCATTATCAGAGTTACTTCCGACCGCAGAATCAGAAGGGCTTCGTCGACGGCAACTCGAAGAGCGAGCACGAGCAGCAGTCTTACTGGCCGCAAGATCAGCAAGACAATCGGCTGCACTTTCCAGGTTTCGAGGTGAAAGAGGAAGACCTGCTGCCGTCTCGCAGGGAAGTCGATTGTTACAACAATAGAAACGGTTGTCAGACTTCACTGACCGGCAGAACGGAGTACAATAATCTCTACCAGAGACCAAAAAGCGAGGATACGCAAGAGGCGGTACGTGGCAGTCGCAGTCCCGAAGATAGACCGTATCCCTTTGATGGGTATCATCATCAGATGTTCGATCACGGCGACGGCAAAACTCAGCCGCACAGCCGCGTCGCTCATCATCAAAACACTACCAGAATGAATCTGGACGATAGACTTCAGGCTTACGACAGCCACGAGGCCACAGAGACCGCGGACAGGCTTTTCCACGGATCCGGCGCGATGGAAACGCCGACAGTTCAGTCGCAGAACAGTCAAGAACCGTTCTTCTACCCGAACAACGAGCGCTGCCACTACACCTGCGAGATCCTGGACCGCTTGCCGCAAATGATGAACAACGTTCCGGGAGCGACGGCTCACGGGACGAACGTCAACAATTACGGCGAGCAGGTCGCCGCCGATCTGGACTTGCCACCCTTTGTCGATTACACGCTAGTCGGGATGCTGTGCAGTTCCGCGGACGAGGAGGCAGCATCGAGCCTGTTGCCAGCGGGATGCTCGCAGGACTCACACAGCTACGTTCCTCATCATTAGAATACATTCCACACCGTCGCTACACTCTACTCATTTGTATTATATCATATAAATAAATATAAGATAGTTGCACGCTGTCTCTTTGAGAGTCAATCGATCGGTTCATTCATTCATTCGTGTCAAATTAATCCTGTTCCTCTGATGCCCGTTTCTACCAATTTTGTTTAACTTAACTGGTCATTCCAACGGAATTAACCAACCGCATTTCTCGTTAGACAAAACTGATAAATACGATTAGTCCATTTCGTTGAAATAACTAACTGGTTTAGTTAATGAAAGATGGTGGGAAAGGGAATGAGTCGCGCCTATATGAGTCGTGACTCATATACTATTTGAAAATAAAAAATTGTTTTATGGCAAAATTGATGGAAAACATCAACATTAGAAGCACACTAAGATAGACTCATAGTCCGTATTTATATCTCAGCTATATTTATAGAGCTATATTTATAGAGTTTTATATTATATTTAAAATCGTCTTATTTATCTTCAAATGCTATACAAATCGTTGCACTGGTCCGATAGTGCATGACCGACTTTCTGCCCATGTGCAAAATAGGTATCACTGCGCATGCGCAAGAATCCGAATAGAATGCTACGATGGACCTAACATTATAAATGCTATTGGGCTATTGGTAGCTTTGGGCTATTGGAAAATTTTTTTCAAGATTCTGAGCGTGTTACTGATAGAGTAGAGGGACATTAAGGCACGTTGTCATCCAAGAGACGATGCAGAGCGAAATACGCACACTTCACGTCATTTTTGTTAATACACCTTTGCAAATGCGAAGATTTCTTTAAGCTACTTTAAAAAATTATCTCAGGCTTAACTAACTCGGCTTAATAAATTAGCGAAAATTCAAAACACTTCGTTTCGAATCTCGGCTTAATAATTTAGCGGAAACACAAAACACATCGGTTCGAATCTCGGCTTAGTAATTTAGCGGAGTCTCAAAACACATCGGTTCGAATCTCGGCTTAATGGTTCAGCGGAATCTCAAAACACTCGGATCCGAATCTTGGTTTAATAATTTAGCGGGAAATTAAAACATTTCGGTTCGGGTTTCGACTTGATAATTTAATTTGTTGTCTTCAATTTGTCGAAATTTGATTTGTCGTCTTGTCAACAACAAACGTGTATGCATAAGAAAATATCTCCGAAGAGACATTATATCGTATATAATACGACATAACAAGTTATAAATTATATTAATCAAATAGTATATATAGAGCATACTTAGGGTATATATAAAACATATATAGAGCATAAAAAAGCATATATAACATATATAGAGCATATAAATATGACATGTTGAAATATATCAGTTTAATGTATCATCAAGAAATAATCCGACGAGAAGAAAGCCTGCCGAGTCAAAATTTCAATTGGCCATTGTTATGCAAGAATGATCCAATTCAAAAAATTATAAGCTTTTATCAATTGGTACTCCATTCACATCTTTTTGAAGCAAAGAAGAAAAATGTAAGTCTTATAGATGCTTGAAATTAAGAATCAATTCTTTTTATTTTTTACCAGTCGCGTCTTTTTTTAAGGATTGAACTAGTCAGTACTCTTAAAGAAATGGAAATGTTTGACTCGTTGAACTATTGCGAAAATCTCAGAGCTAAATTCTTTGGTTGGATCATTCTAACATAACTCCGGTGAATTGCAAATTCCAATTCTTACTTTACTTCTCGTTGGACCCAATGCGATTTACGTCTACGTGCATGCAATCTACGTAAGTGACGCTTTGTATCTACTATATGAGCGTCTAAATTGAGCGCTCACCATTGCGCGTCGTCCCACGGTGTCCAGGGTCCACCAGCCACCCTGTCACTGCACCTGACACTGCAATGGCCTTTGCGTCCCACGTCGCCTGTAATTCACTCCCGACCGCGGTAATCTAACGGAAATTTCACGAAAAATCCCGTCTCTCTGGGGGGATACACTCCGAGTTGCAAATTGTGTATGAAATATCACTGCGTCTTCGAGGAAATATCGACCTTTCGATAAACAACGAATTCAGCAACGATCTGATCGAGTTCTATCGCTTTGATACACGCGCAACGTGAATTGCTTACGAAGAAAACAGAATCCGCGAGCGAAGGGAACACGTGACGCGAATCGAAGACCAATCTCGCGAAATAATCTGTGCGAGATTCTAACATACGACGCGAAGTATCCCTAATATGACGTTTCGATGTTGCAGCGTAGTAGGCTGCAATACAGCTCCGCAATACTTTTGCGAAAACAATTCCGCAATACTTTTGCGGATAACAGCTCCGCAATATTTTTGCGAAGACAATTCCGCAATACTTTTGCGGATAAAACTCCGCAATATTTTTGCGAAGTTTGCTCGCGAGGCTTCCGTGAATGAAAAATCGAAAACTGTGAAAATAGTGGCGATAGAGAAAAGATTTATTCCGAATTTACGCGGGAAAATGTTATCGTTATCGCGTGAGACGTCTGTCTCCTCAACGAACCTGAAATTCGCGAAAATCTTTTCCCGCAATATTTCTGCGAAGTTTGCTCGTGACATTCCGCAATTTCAATTCAGCAAAATTTGCAAATCTATCAAATTAATAATCGCAAATGCGAATGAAAAATCAAAAACTGTGAAAATACCAACGATAGAAAAAAGATCTATTTAAAGTTTACGTAAGAAAATTTTATCGCGTGAGACGTCTATCTCCTCAACGAACCTGAAATATTCGCGAAAACCCGCGATATTTTTGCGAAAACAATTCCGCAATATTTTTGCAAATAACAGCTCCGCAATACTTTTGCGAAGACAATTCCGCAATATTTTTCCGGATAGCAGCTCCGCAATATTTTTGCAAAGACAATTCCGCAATACTTTTGCGGATAACAGCTCTACAATATTTCTGCAAAGTTCGCTCTCGACTCTTCCGCAAATACGAATCGGTTAAATTCTCAAATTTATCAAAACATATAATCGAAAACGCGGGAGTGAATGAAAAATCAAGAACTGTGAAAATTGCGACAATAGAAATAAAGATTCTATTCAAAATTCACGCGAAAAAAAATATTACCGCGTGAGGCGCCTAGTGTTCAATGGAATTCGTCGCGCGCGACGAAATAAACAAACAACTGCTCGCATACTATTTGTATACATCGCGTTTCTTGCGAGGGATCAACGCTCGCTAATATTATCTATTGTCCCGTGTTAGAAAGTTCTAAGTAAAAAATTGAAACTTGGAAATTTTCCGACAATCGTAAAATTAATTTTGCGAGCAGTTTAAGTAATCACGTTATATCGCTTCACAAGCGCCGTACGATATCGAATTTTATTTAATGGCAAACTCTGTACTTTACGAAATGCAAGCTTACGCGAGAGAGAAAATTGAAAAAATTAACGACCGGCGGAATATCTATCGAGGCGGGTGATGTGATTGCACATTTTTTGTAGCGCAATTTCTGTGGCGCAATCTCTGCGCATTGGTGCACTGATCGAGACATTTGAAAGATCGCATTCAATAAAACTGAATAATTGTACAAAATTTTGAATACAGAGCATATACTCGACACTTTAATAGCAATTGGGAAAAAAATATTTGAAAATTTGCCAAATTTATGTAAAAATGCATTATTACTAATATTATTATTTGTAAAAGCGATTTTTTAAATGTTTCGAGCAATATGTTTTATTGGACGGCACATACACATACTATACCACAGCAAAATAAATCGCATTGATTTATAAACATGCATTACATGGAAAGACTTTTTGTCTTTCTATTACCAATTTATTTTCTTATTTGACTCACCGATCCGCCGATCAGGGCAGCCACATTATGCTTTCGTTTCTGGAACAAAAAAAATGTTTCGCCGATTAGATTCGTGCATAGATATCGGTTTGAGTAAAAAAATTTGAAATATTAAAAAAAAATAAGCGCGCGATATTTTTCATGCTGGGGGAGTTTCGGAATGCATTCACATTTAGAATATTTTATTTTCCTTTTTCTTGATTCACAAAAATTTTCTCGTTTCACAAAAATTTCTTAATTAAAACAAATCAACATTTTTCAAGTGGTGATGTTACTCAGGAAAAATTATCCCCGCGTGTAATTACAACTTAACGCGATCTTTGACTCGGTTCAAATTATCACGATTTCGAGCAAGAGAATTATCAATCTTATTGGATTTCTAATGACAAATGTTAATTAAGGAAACTAACCTTCGAGCTAACCCCGCTTGTCCGAGCCGGATCCTCCGGCGCAGCAGCTCCTAAGAGTCGGCTGGTCGTCTGCTTCGTCTCTGCAACAGAAAGCAGATTTAATTTAATATTATACACGACAATGGAGGCATTAAAGAATCCATTGATTCCAAACAAGAGAATTTCCAATTTTATCGGATTTTTAATTACGAATTCAAATAAATGAAACTCACCTTCGCTCCAACTTTGCCAGAGCCGGAACCTCCAGCGCAGCATCCCTTTAGAGTCGAGTGCTCGTCGAGGAAATTATCGTAACGGCACGCTCAAATTGCTTCCCAATACGCAATAAAAATAATTAAATGACAAGCGAATAAAGAAGTAATACTACTTGAGTAATAAATGGAAGATGATATTATTTGATCGGTATTGAGGAACTCGACCGCGACGTTTCTTTATCTAACAAGTGAAAAAATAAATAAAACGCAGTAATTATCTGTCACTGTAAAGTCCGCAACATCTGCTTGCGTGAGGAGTACACGTCTTAATTTATCTTAATTATCGCGAAGTCGAAACACGGTATTAAAAATCGGCACGGAGTAATATAGAAAATAACGCGGTACTTCCGCGACGCGCTCGCCTCGGCGGCTGATAGCGTTGTGGCATGACTCCCGAGCACGTGCTCACGCATGCGTGTTTACCCAACCGGCCGCGCGTCTCCCCCCCCCCCCCCCCCCCCCCCCG